TCTTGTCAGTAGTTAAAACAGTAATTAAACATTTAATGGCTACAGCAATCATAGCAAATAATAAATCTGAAAAAGCAACATTACCATTGAGACATGCTGAGAGGCTCTTGAGAGTGATCTTGACCTTCAGCCTCCACGTACCATTCAACATCTCTGAAAACCAGCAGATAGAGGCTCAAAAAAATATGATTCCTGGTATCATCTACCGCAAAAACTCTCAGATTGACTCTATTCTAATCACTGCCACTTTTCAAAATCTGACCAATTCCAGATCAAATAGAAGCAACGTTTAACTAGTTTTACTCTAAAATCCATCACATTATGCAAGTAAAATGAGTTGCGAGTCCATTTCATGCTGACTTTAAGAACACAAACATTTATTATTCTCTAAACTATGGAATCCCTTCTGGCAATGAAAGAGTTGCTTCAGATGATTAGAGGACTTCTCAAACAAGCCAATGCATCTAAATCTTTGGCATTCACACCCTTTAACTCTATCTGACGTTTAACCAGAGTTATTCCAATGTTCTGTTCCAACTGTTCAGTTGAATCCAATCCTAGTTTGGTCCAATCAGGTGTTGAAACAGGGCTGGAGGGAATATATAATGTGCGCATGTATGTACATGTAATGGATGTGAATGACTCAATCGCTGTGCATGTCTTGCTGTTTATGGGGCCAAAGATCCCAATAAGCCTTGATAGAGAAGAGCTGGTGTCTCTGTGAGCGCTGGACTCTGTAACGAGGAGAGACAGGTGTGCGGCAGACCCTTGGCCCCGCTGCAGCCCCTCAAAGGCCCCATGCTGGGAAGAGAGGTGGCCGTCCCTCTCCACACAGCCATTTATCTCAATTTCAGCCTGCCCGGCATTCCTGGATCAAAAAGCACATAAACTAAATAACCCTGCTGGAATTCACCCGCAGACTCATCAACCTGAGATACATAAGCGCACCTCACTGTGACCAAACCAGACAGCCGCTGCATCAGTTATACACCATCACTTAAGACTAAAATGTCTCATTAAAAAAAAATATATATATATTGTGTATATATATATATATATATATATATATATATACAGTATATATACACACACACATCATCATCATCACTTAAGACTAAACATTTTTTTAAGGGAAAACATATGTTCATAACATATGTTCAAAGCTAATTATTTTTCTTGAATGAATAAAGGTGGAAATAACAGACTTCCCAAATATGTGAGCTATATTATTAAGTCGCTATCACCTTAAAGAGGATATATCTTCAAAACATATCATGCTCTTTTAATATACTATGTATAAATACTAAAACATTCACAACATAAAGCTCCACCCAAACCGTTTATGGAAAGTAACTTGCAAAAATGGCTTATCATAAGTTTAGGGTTACTAGTTTATTTTGGGAAGAAATTAATACATTTATTCAGCAAGCATGTATTACATTGATCAAAAGTGACAGTAAAGACATTTATAATGTCACAAAAGATGTATGTTATTTTAAATAAATGCTTTTCTTTTTAACTTTCTTTTCATCAAAGAATCCTGAAAAAAAAAACTATTATGGTTTCACAAAAATATTAAATATAACTGTTTTCAACACTGGTAATAATGAAAACTCTTTCTTGAGCATCAAATCAGCATATTAGAATGATTTCTGAATGATCATGTGACACTGAAGACTGGAGAAAATTCAGCTTTGCACCACAGGAATATATTTTATTTTAAAATATATTCTAATAGAAAACAGTTATTTTAAATTGTAATAATATTTCACAATATTACTGTATTTTTTATCAACCTTGGTGAGCATAATTTAGCCTTGGTGAGCATAAGATACTTCTCTCAAAAACATTTTCAAAAATCTTACAGAACCCAAACTTTTGAACTGTAGTGTATATATCAACACCTATTTAGTATTCAGCAACTTGACATGTTCAGATGAACGACAGTTTTAAATATGCCACAGGAGTTTTAACTGAGGTCATTTACATATAAAACAATAGTCTGAAGTGTCAAGCTTGAAAAACTATATTTAAAAAAAAAAAAAAGCATTAAAAAAAAGTAGTCCAAATGACTCATGCACTATATTCCAAGTCTCCCAAGAAAAACACTAGCTTTGAGTGAGGAACAAACCTGTATTTTAGCTAAATGGATTTGTTAAGGTACAAGTTTGATGTTTGATGTCATGCCCTATTGGTTCCCAAACCAAAAAACGGTGTGCCAGTTTCGAGAAAATCACACTTGGGAGCTGTAGCATAGAAAACTAAGTAACAACTAAATGTTTTTTTTTGTTTTTGTTTTTTTTGGTTCAGTCTGTCCTCACACATAGCTAAACATAATATGGACTACTTACTGTATATGTCTTTTATGGCCTTAAAAGACTATGGAAAAATCCCCCCCCAAAAAATAAAAAAAATCTACTTTTGTGTTCCATATAAAGAACAACAGTATTTAATTTTGGAACAACATGAGCGTAGGCAAATAAAAATCAAATTTTTCATTTCCTATATTTAATTCTAAAGGTCAACGAGAGGGTGGAAAATAGCCAGGGAAACTACATTATGACTGTTTCGGGTGCAAGAAACCTTGGCTAATATTATAAGTGGCCTTCTAGGGGAAAAAATAAACTGCAACAAAAATAGAATATGGTCCATTTAAATAATTTCCTGGCTTCTGAAGCATGCGCCTCTTTAATGGACAGCGAGGGCATCTAATGCCAGTATGTTGGCGTGGTGATGGTGTTGGCATTGAGATTTTGTTCGCTGGAACGCTTTCAGAGAAGAATAAAAAGGTGAAAATCTATTTAGTGGCTTTACGCCATACCTAAAGTGTCAAAGCTTGAACAGAATGCCGGTGTGCGAGAAAAGAGACATAAAAATAGAGAAAACGCTGATGACAGAGGAGGCAGATCTGCTGTTATGCGCACTGGCAGGTAGTGTATCAGAAGCCAAGGGTGGTTGTACTAATAGTTCTAAATACACCCCATGATGAGCTATTAGAAGAGGCTTTTTGTGAATGTGATAAATAAATCCTCTTTAGTCAGTGTGACAGTAATCCCAGAGCCCCCGTGCCTCCGTTCCTTACCAATCCATCAAGCGGCGCCTGCATATAATCAGCGCCGCATATTCCTCAAACGCGTTTCCGTACGCTACAAAGACTTCCCCAAACACGCTAGCTGTATCTCTGGAAACTTCTAGTCTGTCTGGTCTCGGAGGAATATGTGAAACTTCACTTCCCATGATGCCTTGTTTCATCTTCACAGGTTGGAAATCAGCAAGGGGCACAATAAAGGGCACTTCTGGAAAGGGGCATCGTTTATCTGAGCTATAAGCAATCCAGCTTGTCTTACTAAGCCTATTACGTATTGGATTTCTGTTGCTGTGGCATAATTTATTTGAGCTGCTGTGGCTCAGAAGCAATAATACTTGTTTTTGATCAATTAAGAATGTCTTTGTGAAGGGGAAATACTCCATTGGGGTTTCTCAGTGAATTTAAAAAAAAACACCAAAGATGTAATTCTACCTCAAATGAACAAAAAGAAAACATACATGAATGAGGAAAAAAGTATATTGTTCATTTCTAGAATGATAGTTGGGGAAAAAAAGAGAGAGAAAAGGACTCCTTATAAAAACTGACTACGGTAACCACAGTTTCTGCCAAAACAGTTACTGTAGCTTCTGTAAAATAATCATAAATAAATTTGGTGTCTCCTTTAGGCAGTGTAAGAAGCTCCAGAATCTTTCATTCGTAAAAAATAAATGTTCCAAAAGGGGGTTTTCGCAGTGATGCCATAGAAGAACCATTTTTGGTTTCCTGAAGAACCTTTCAAGTGAACAGTTCTTAAAAGAAACAATTTTGTTTTGTCTTAGTGTGAAGAACATTTTAGTAATCTGAAGAACCTTTTTTCACTATACTGTAAATAACCTTTTGTGGAATGGAAAGGTTCCAAAGATGTTAAAGCTTCTTAATGGAACCATCGATGCCAATAAGGAACTTTTATTTTTAAGAGCGTTCTGTTGGTTAATTTCTTTTTTGGTGAGAGTGGTGGCTGATACCAATGCAGTATTCATGTTGTGTCCGAATTACAGTATATGAAATGTAAATGCTCTGCTCTGGGCTGTTCATGATCTCAGAAATGATTGGTTTCTAATGTTCATAAAGGCTGAAATGGATCCATATTCTGCTTTGTTGGTGATGACAGCAAATACTTAATTACTTCATAAATTTGCATCTATATTCTCATGCAAAACATTGAAGAATGTACAATGAAGAAAAAGTTAACTCCAGGTAACAGTGGCTATATTAAAATATTAAGCAGCACTACTTGTTCAACACTGATATTAGTAAGAACATGAGCAGCATTTCAGCATATTTGAATGATTTCTGATTTCTTATCAAAATTCAGCTTTACCATAACAGGAATAAATTACATTTTAAAATATATTATAATAGAAAAACATTTAAAAATTGTAATAATATTTCACAATATACTGTATTTTTGTTCAAATAAATGCAGCCTTTCAAACATTTTACTGACCCCAAAATATCTGAATGGTAGTGTGTGTTTACATTACTGTCATAATATTTCAAGTGGGAAACATAAGAACTTTCATTAAAAATTCTGCATTTCCAAATTATGTGTTAACAAAGATGAACTGTTTGTAAAACAGTGTGAAATGACTGTATTTTTGACATGACATGAACGCAGCACAACTTTTACATTAGTAACTATACCTATACTGGCATTCTGGAAGAAATTATAGTGATCATGGCAAAAAAAATTCTAGGGTGAAACAAGGACAGTGTTAAAAAAAAAAACTTTGGTAGAAAGTTATAAATCACTGAATCTCTATCATCCATACTGTGCAATACAAATGTTATTTGTCTGTGACAGTGTGTGCAAGTCTGGAGTGCTGTTGAAATGTCTGGTGTATGTGCGGATGATCTGTGATTTCTATTGACTCCGGCTGGACTGAGAGATGTGGTAGAAGGGATGGATTACCATGGTGATGAGGTATGTTGTTGCCCTCCAAGGTGGAGTGTCTTGGGCCTAGTGGCGGAGCATGAGCTTGCATTAGCAGACCTCTCCCAGTATGGCTCGCTGTGGAGAAACGTGGAAAAGCTCTTAACGGCCGTAATGAGGGAAACATCAGCAACCAGAATGACCCAGAATTCACACAGTTTATGAGTACAACTTCAATGAGTCTAACATTTCAAAAACAATTACATATATTTGATAAACTGAAATATAATAAGGTAAACCGACTCAAAGTTCAGAGACAGATTGAACAACAGATGGATAGAACGATAGACAGAACGATAGAATGATAGATAGAACGACAGACATACAGATAGATAGATAGATAGATAGATAGATAGATAGATAGAGAGATAGTTTTATGAAAATTATGAAATTGTTGGAATGTAAATATAATGAAAAATGGCAGGAACTGCAATGTGAAATGAAATTCGTCAAAAATATATTTTCTTTTGATGTTTTCTGATGTTAGTAACCAGTATGAGAATTATTTACACCACAAAGCATATATTCTGTTAATGGTGAGATCTGAAAGACAAATAAAGCAGCACATAAGCTTACATATTGATAACTGAGAAAGCAGTTTGAGTGCTGCATTACACGCTGTAGCTCCGACCTTACTGAATCATTGCCAGGCTTTAGAATGTTTATTGGCTAATGTTAAACATGTATTTTTCAAAACAGTAGTTTAACATTAACAAATTTTCCGAGTTATGATTCGGGGCAATGTGATTGACTCGTCTCTGGCGTGATGCGCTACAGATAGCGGGTGCCGTTCTAATTGCTCGGCATAAACGGCCTCGTTCACGCATTTATCTGTGGCACTCAAATGCTAAAGAGCTTTTATTTGTTAAGGGCTCTTCAGGATCCCTGTTAAACACCGGAGGTTGCTGCAGAATGAATGGGGAGGAATTGGAAAGGCAAGGTTTTAACGGTAAAGGATTGATATCAGACGGGGTGAACGCAGCCGCGTTCCTCTCTCTCCTCTAGATTGATGCTTTGCAATTTACAAACTTCTGCGGGCCACAATTCATTTAGCACAATAAATTCCCTGCAGGTATGGAGAGCGTCGCCATTCTACCACAAACTGAATGAAAACACCTACACACGCAACGCTCCAACACACACACACACACACACACACCTACACATAAAGCACTGTCTCCCTGGCCCAATGTAGGCCCATTTTGATTTTGTTTCATGGCCGTAAAGGCACTGTATATTGCAGACAGCAGCAGAAGATTTGGTCCATTTTTCAAAGCCGACTATATTAGCCCTACACCACGCATTCTCTTTAAAAAAGACCTTTTTCCCCCACATGTTGGGAAAACTAATCCCCATCTGGTGCATTGTACTCTATAAAATGCTCTGACATGGCCTTTCCATGATTTCCAGGGAATCGGCGATATGATTGAAAATGTGTCAGTTTTGTAAGCAGGCCTGCTCCGGGTACACGTTCAAAACAGCACCGCTGACCCTGATGCCGTCTCAATCGCGTCAGACTTCCTGTGGACGCTAAATCATGGTCCTATGTGACTGCTTGACAATCTTACAAGCTGGAGAGAGAAATTAATGCATGTTTTTCTGCTGGTTTGGCAAAGTGATTGTGAAACTATTATTTTCCAACAACAAAATTAATTATTTGTTGATTTAAATGGCATTTAGAAGGTACCATGTTATGGAAGCCCTTTTAAAAAAAGGTACTTGCAACTTTTTATCTCACAATTTTGGACTTTTTTTGTCTTCATAAATCAGATTTTTTTTCTCAGAATTGCATGAAAAAGTTAGAATTGTGATATAAACACATAATGTCACAATTCTAAGAAGTCTGAATTGTAAGATAAAAAGTCAGAATTGTGAGGAAAAAGTCGCACTTATTTATTGTTTCATTCCACGGCTGAAAAACAACAACAACAAAAAACAGTTGCGCGATATAAACTTAAGAATTGCAAGAAAAAAGTCAGAATTCTGAGTTTATATCTCACAATTCTGACTTTTTTTCTTAGAATTGCAAGTTTTTATCTTGCAATTATGTGTTTATGAAACTAAAAATAAGTCTAATAAGTCTGACACACTAAAAGAATAGAAATGTTACCTTGGCAACTAACTGAAATAAAGTACGTTTAAGTACTTAAATAAAAATAAATTAAAGCTAAACAGAAGAAACTAATACAATTACAGATATCAAAAGAACATAAAATACTGTCAATTTAAAACTAAAATGACACCACTAACCCTAATGCAGTTTCTGATTTCCATCAGATGCTAAATCCTGGAGAGAGAAGAGCGTCTGCAGGATATGTTCTCCTGCCGGTTTGGCCCAGATGCTCATAAAGTCAACAGCACATGTGATGTAATACAGGCCTCAGAGTGCTGAAGATCTGCACTGTGGGTTTGCAGTAGCATCTAAGGATTATTATCAAACAGGATGGTACCATGTCAGAACAGAGCGGCCCGTGCCAAAGAGCTGGCAGACTGAGAGAGGGAGGTTGGGAGAGACCATGAGTAGAGAAGAGATGAGAAGAGGTGTTGAGGGAAAGGATATTCTCGAGTCTGTGGTATTCCGACAGTCTTCACAATATTGTTTCACAAATAAAAAAAATACACTCACAAAAGGCCAGGAAGGAGGTACTGCAGACCCGTGCTGCATCACAGAGACCTTCAATCTGTACAAAACGAGCAGTGTGTCAATCAAACACAGGAACGCTCCACACACCTGTCATAACCCTGCAAAATAACACCTTATTTTCCCTCAGCTGCGTAAACGGAACAATCCGGAGAGACTAAGAAGAGACAGAAGGCTGAATATTATGAGAACTCAAACCCCAATCCTGGGAGAAAAAATGAAATGCAGAGAACTCTAGACACTGCCTATATGGAAAGAGCTGAAAATATACCACTGGATGAACAAAAGGTAAGAGTGTTTGTAGTAAAACCACAGCTGCAAAAAGAGTCAAAAACTAAAGCATACATCACTGTCACTTCTTGCGAAAATCTCCTCCTGGGTAGTTTTCCTACGCTAACTTTTCCTAACCAACGCTGGTCTGGGATACAGTTCAAGTGGACTCAAGTACAGTTTGTAATTGGCACGAAAGCAATTCAATCAAAATTGCAGAAACATGTTTAGTTTTTATTTTATTTTTTTATTTTTATTTTATTTTTTATTTCAATTTTTGACAAAAATGTTGTTTAAATTTAGTCAAAAATAATTTCTGGTCATTAAAATTAAACTTTACCTTGAAACAAGTTTAAGTACTACAATTTCTAAAACAAAAATAAATTAAAGCTATATAGAAATACTACAAAATGACAAGCAAACTAAACAAATAAAATTAAACCAATAAAACCAAAATAATAATCATAAAACCATTGTTAAGGGCTGTTATAAATATAAATACACATATACATTTTAGAAATTTATTAGAGAAATGTAGCCAGTATTTTGGTACATGAACTTTAATCCATTTTACTAAAACATAAATTCACGAAATTTACATTACAGAATTGACAAATTCTGACAATAATGGCCAATAAAACTATAACAGACAAAACATGAACCTAATATTCAAACAACAAACCAATGTTGTTATTGTTAACAAAAACTAGAACTGCAACTTAAACTATTTTCAGTAATTAAAATTAGAGATCGACCGCTATATCGATTTACCGATATTTCCCCGATATTTTGTGGCAATATGGATATGGATCCATACCAGCTTTTGCACCTTGCCTGCAAATTAGGAGGTAATGGCGGAAACGATATAAAAGAGAGGCAAAACGGAAGTCTGGGAGTGAGCGCAAGGGAACAGATGTGACAAGAACGGTACGTGAAGGCAAGTGTGGCTAAGTGTGTCGGATTATTTGCTTGCGCCGACCGGGTGTGAACGCCAAAACCTCCGAGAAAATTGGTTGTGCATTGGTCACCGGTTGCAACATCATTCTGCCTTGTATAGGCTATTGGTTGGCCGCTCAGACGCTGCCTGTTGCACGCAGGCGCTGCCCCACACACATACACCCTCACACTGCACGAAGACTCGCCCACACAAACAACGCACACACCTAACGGGATTAATGCTAGGGGAATTATTTTCTCTTTTTGTTTTGTTTTGTTTTTTGTTGTCGTTGTTGTTGGGTGTGAAAAACTGAAACTTTGAACTTTAAGACTGTTCCCAAGAGTGAATTTAAAGGAAAACTGATTCGTTTTTTGTGTGTTTTTGTGAACAGAGGACTCTGCCGTTTTATTCTCAATGTACTTGTTGATCTTGTCTAGACTGAATTGAACAAGTGGAAAAGCATGTGGAAAGCCTCTTTCTCAATGAATTAATGCTTGTTTTTTTATTATACAAATGCAGTGAAAAAGAAGAAAAAACTTTGTAAGATTTTGTTTTCCTCCATTCATTTTCTTCTGATGTTTGTTTGTGTGCATATAATTAAATAATAGTCTGCTGACTTAAAAAGAAACGTTTTTGTGAAGGGTGCTATTTAATCGATTCGTATTTTTCTTGTGTGTTAGTGTGCAGGTGGCAATTTATGTATCGGTGGGTTTTTTGAGCTTTACCGGGAATTGATAGAATAAAAAACATAACTCTTTTGACTTGGCAAATTTTTGGATTCTTTGCCTTGTCTGGCACCTGAACAATTTAATTACTTCCCTTAAATACTGCAATTTAACTTTGGCGGGCCACCACCGTTACAATTGAAGCATTTTACCATAATCGGATATCGGTTTTGTAATATCGGATTCACTGATAAACGCCGCCATCTTGTGGGTGTTTTGAAAATTGCGCACAGGATCGCCATTGCAGCGCGTCTGAGGGGAGACGAGACAACAACAACGCTATGCAGGTACTTGATTTGCTGTAGTTAGTAAACTTTATTTAATATAACAGCCATTTATGCACAAATTAGATGCATTACATAAATGCCTGATGTAGTTTATGCAGCTTGGCTCTAAGAAATAGAGACCAACTCACGGAGTCATGTAAAATAACCCGTCAAGTCCTGTCCGAATAAAGACGTAACTTTGCCTGAATTAAATAATATGCAGCCATGAATGAGCGCAT